AGGACAACTCTGTGTGGATGAAATATACAGAGATCCTGGCGTACCGATAGAGCCGACACCCTCCTAGCTGATGTAACGGCTACAAGAAAAAACGTTTTAAGGGTCAATAATCTAAGGCTGATGATACGGATGGGCTCGAATGATGCTGTAGTGAGAGCCTGGAGTACCAAGGTCAAATCCCACATGGGATAGCAATAAACCACAGGTGGCTTGAGATTTACAACTGCCTTGAGAAAAGTTCACACCCTCTGGTGTAGTTAGGGTATGGCCGTGGCCACCGTCGACAGCACTGCGAGCTGACACCAGAGTGTGCTGGGCATTAGCCCTTTGCCCATGCCCATCTGTAGAAAGTCAGGTACCTGAGATACTGAAGCCAAGATGGGGTCTATGCTGGAGCTGCGGCACCACCTGCAGAAAGAGAGCCAGGTGGCATCATAGATGCGTGTGGTGGACGGGTGTCTGGCTGCCTGAAAAGTTGTTATGACCCTGTCCGAGAATTGCTGCTAGGCTAGGATATCCTTTTCAAGTGCCACATGGCAAGTTGCATCCATTGGGGGCTTGGATGGATGAGAGCCCCCTGGGAAAGGAATATCCTGTCATCCGGTATCTGCCATGGTTGGGCGGATTTGGGTGGGGAGCCCTCACTAATTCCCAAAATTCAATTAGAGCTAGTTGGACTGTGCGTAGCTCCAACCAATTTATACTGTTCCACAGTTCCTGTGCATTCCAGTGACCATGCGCTACCGAGACAGGGCTGTTGTCCATTCTTTTGGTTTGGTTCTTTGAATGGGCATCCTCTATGTAGTTTGGATGACTGCCACCATAGGAATGACCCGGTCACCTTGGGCGGTAATTGTACCCTGGTGTGGGCTTTCTGGAATGGGAGCAGGAACCATTAGAGAGCGTGTGCATGGAATCGTGCCCAGGGAGCAATGTCTATACAAGAAATCATTTTCCCTAGGAGCTGGGAAAAGGTTGCCAATAGTAAGGTTCTCCTTAGCTGAACCTGACTCACCAGTGCCTGGGTGCTGTTTCTGCGCTCCTGAGATAGAAACACTTCGCAGAGCTCAGAGTTGATGATTGTCTTGAGATGCAGCAGGCTGGTGGATAGCTGCAAGTGGCTCTTTGGGAAAATGATGACGAATCCATGAAGCGTGGCGATTGTGGTCTGAAGATCTTGCCTTGCTTGGACGTGGGATGACAAAAGAACCAGGATGTCGTCAAGATAGCAGTTTACTCTAACTGGTAGTGAGTGAAGATAGTTGGTGATAGCTGCCAAGAACTTCATGAAGTTCGCGGGGCCAATGGCGATTGTGGTCTGGAGATCTCGCCTTGCTTGGATGTGGGACGACGAAAGAACCAGGATGTCGTTGAGATAGCAGTTCACTCTGACTGGTAGTAAGTGAAGATAGTTGGCAATAGTTGCCAGGAGCTTTATGAAGGTTCACGGGGCCAATGGCGATTGTGGTCTGGAGATCTCGCCTTGCTTGGTCGTGGGATGATGAAAGAACCAGGATGTCGTCGAGATAGCAGTTCACTCTGACTGGTAGTGAGTGAAGATAGTTGGCGATAGTTGCCAGAAGCTTCATGAAGGTTCGCAGGGCCGATGGCAATTGTGGTCTGGAGATCCCGCCTTGCTTGGACATGGGACAACGAAAGAACCAGGATGTCATCGAGATAGCAGTTCACTCTGACTGGTAGTGAGTGAAGATAGTTGGCGATAGCTGCCAGGAGCTTCATGAAGTTTCATGGGGCCGATGAGAGGCCAAACAGTAGGGCCTTGTACTAAAAGTGGCACCCTGTGAACTGGAACCGCAGGAACCTCCTGTGTGCCAGGCACAGGACAAACTGGAACCGCACGTGGAGGTAAGCTTGGGCACGTGGAGGTATGCTTGGGCACATGGAGGTACGCTTCCTTGATGTCAGCCAATGTCATCAGACCACCCTCGCAGATACAGCCCAAAATGGTCTTGAGTGACTGCATCTTGAAGCACTGATATTTTAGGTGGAGATTAAGTCTTTTCAAATCTAAAATGGCTCTCCACCACCCTCCCACCCCACCTGAGCTTTTGGGTACTAGGAATAATATCAAATAAAATCCTAGTCTTTCCTGTCCCAGGGCACTGCCTCTATGGCTTGGGTGTCCAACAGGTGTCAGATCTCAATGTCCCTGAGGCCCCTTTTCATCTGACACCTGGGAACAGGGCAGCTGATAAATTGCCTTGGGGGGATGGAGAGGAATTCTAGTGTGAGTCCCAGCCTCACTGTTTAAATAACCCAAGCATCTGAGGTGGTTTCTTCCCATTGGTGCACAAAATGATGTGAGATGACCACCAATGAGGCCATCCTCTTGGGAGTCACCTATAGCAATGAAAAGGCCAATTGGAGGTGCCACAAAATGGCCGTCGGGCATGAGGTTGTTGCTGGGTCTGCTGTCTGTTTCAATCTCTAGCTCCAAACTATTCCTGAGAATGTCGTGTCCCTGTGTGTATGGTTTGTTGTAACTAGGGAGATATGGGGTTGGAGCTCCCCCAGTATCTGTGGCCCAAAAGGACTGGCACCAAAAATACGTCTGAGTCCTCCTGTCAGTGTGCCTACGAGGATGGGAGCACCTTGCGCTTATCCCATGTCTCTATTAAAATAGACTCTAACACATCTCCAAATAGCACCCTTCCCTTAAAGGGAGCAGATGCTAAGTGCCATTTGGAGAGCATATCTGCCTGCCAATGGCAAAGGCATAGGAAGAGGTGTGAGGTGACATTAGATGCTACCACTTGGGAGGCAAATTTGGCTGCATTGAGGGTAGCGTTGGAAGAATATTCAACTGCTGCAATCAGTTTATTTACATCCTGATGCAAGCGCATATCCTCTGGCACTATTCTTGCTTGCAGTTGCCTAAGCCAGACGAGTGAAGTCTTATTAAAAAATGAGGCTGCCGTAGCAGCCCTCAGCACCCGTGCTGCTGCCTGGTTGTCTTGTGCAGCATTAGTTCCGCCTTGAGGTCCTCCACCCTAAACCCATCTGCCACCTCTGAAGGTACCAAGGCAGTGGAGGCCAGGGCCGCTATAAGTGGTTCCATGGTGCGGAATTGCAGAATTCCTTGTAACTCTGGGCTCAAGCTATAAAGCTTCCTATTGCTATTGCTGGGAGGGGGGACAGCAGCTGGCTGCGTACATTGACATTGGACCACATCCAAAAATAATTTAAGGGCTGGAATTACATCTTGTTCCGAGACCTGCTCTGCAAATAGGCAATCTGCAAGGAACCGAGGTGCTGGCCTGAGTGCTAAAGCCTGCCATATTAGCCGTGATCTTAGCCTTATATAACAGTGAGTTGAATAAGGCTGGGTGAAATAACACAGAAAATGCGGGTTTGTCCTGAGCTGGGGCCTCATCCTCAGAAAGTTCCTGATTCCCCAATCACTGAACCTTCACTATGAAGAGAAGGTAGAGGGGATGGGGGATCCAACTGCGAGGTAGACAAGGGCCTGGGTAAGGTAGAATGACAAGGGGGTTGCCCCCTACGTTGCAGCTCTACATCCACACTCTGTGAGATGGCTGCTGCTATCATGTCCTAAGACTAAAGGGGGTATCCTCCTCGGGCCTCAATCCCGCAGCTGTGGGGGTGAATGTTGCCACCGGCACTGAGTGCACAGGCACAGATATAATGGCCAGGCCAAAGTCAGCTAGTCACTGAGGAGATTGGGGTCCCAATCCTAGGTCCTTGGCAGACAATCCCTTCGGTAGAGGTAAATCCGGAGACCAATCCTGGGTCCCTGCCATGATAATAGAAGACCCCGGCGGAGGAGATGAAAGCCTTTCCACAGTTAGGGCTGGCAGTGACCTGCTAATAGCTACAGTAGTTGAAGGGTTGGGCAGATGCTGCCCCTTCTGCTTATGCCTGGAGTTCCTGTCTGCAGCTGCAGACGAGGTGCCTGCACGGGTCCTACTACAGGTGTTTTTTGTAATGGACCTTCCCACCCTGGTGCTAACCCCATCAGGGTCTGTCTGCAGTAAGCGGGATGACCCGGCCCCAGTGCTGCTATTAGAAATAGAATGATCTGCCATTATCCCAGCAGACTCAAGCTTATAATCACGATCCCTTCATCTCCTTAGAATAGGGCCAAGAGCAATTCGCAAGCAGTTGCCACAAGTGTTGCTGGAGCAAAGAACACGCAACCACACTGCTGTAGACCTTGTCCGCAATGGTGGAGTGGTGGCGTACTGACCTCCCAAAGCTTGTGGTTGGCAACTGTTATTACGTCGCCGTAGCTTTCGGTGTGAAAAAACACAAGGCATTGCTTCTCAGCTGAGGAAGAAGGTGCGAATTTCAAACTTGCCTCCAAAATGACTGCCCGTCGTACCCAGTGATTGCTCTGACCACTCAGAATGGCGGCGGCTGCTCAAGTTGTGCCGCTGAGGCAGCTTCCCAATTCACAGTCCCTGCAAGTAGGGACTGCTACACGGCTCCACTCGCCGTCAGGAGAACGCAGGCTTTAAAGTGTTTGCTGGAATTTTTATAGTGCTCATTCACCTCTCAAGGTAGGCTAGTACCCAAAACTATACCGAGCGGCTATCCATTGGAACGGAAAGCCACCCCAATGCTGCAACCGGATCAAACTCCTTTAAGCTAAGGAAATTAAAAGGCTACATACAAACACTAGTAATTATGCATTAAATATTGTCTATTAACCTAGAGAAAATATATTTACGTCTCTTCAGGCTGGACTGAGTTAAAAAATTGAACTCTTCCAGTCAGAGGAGGCGTGGTCAACAATTTCATAACTCAGTCTCTAGGCTAATGGACAAAGTTAACCCATGCTTGGACTCTCCAAGCAGCACACAGGAGAAAATAGAGATCTTAATATCTAAATACCACATCTGAACCATAATGAACTAAATGCTTCATCATCTCCAACTGTACTTAATTATTTGTAAATGAAACAATATATAACAGGTTAACAACAATTGTATCTTTAATCTGTATTATCAGTTTCTTACCACACTGTGGTTCAGGTGATTTTCTTCCCTTAATTCCAGCCTGCTTTTCAAGACATCTCCATCATTTACAGGGATTTTCCTGTTTTAAAGGGATGTTTAAAAACAGGTTTAGAAATAAAATTATGATATTTATATTTTGATATGACTACTTTTTCCTATTAAGCTGTACCTTAATATGTATTTGTGAATACTATGGATACATAGTATTCCAGATTATAGGCAAAATAGTGCAGTGGAATATTAAGGAGCATGAGAATAATATCTACAGGCATTCATTCAGTTTTGAAAGTTCTTTTTTTATAAAAAGAAGTGTTTTTTAGAGACGTACAATAACCTTTCTAGTTAACATTCCAGGTTGGTTTATCTTTTTTTTAAAAAATGAAGGAAGTAGAAAATTATCACACTGTCCTAATATCATACAAAAGATGAGCTGTTCAGTGACAAAGAGGAAGCCACACATCTGTGCCTTGGCAGTGTTGCGGCCCAGGGGCTTGTTATCCTAAAAAATGCCAATAAAAAAGCTCCTTGGTGCCAACTTTCAAATCCCAAGGACACAATTGCTGACATACAGCAGAAGGAAAGTTTCATCATTACCCAGAAGAGTCAATTCTAATCTATGATATTTAAAGTGACACAATCAATATATAAGATAAAGCAGCACCTTTGATTAAATATTGTACCAAAACACAGCTAGCCAAACACTTTTATAAACTTTTATATGTATCCTTTTATTAGTGCTTTGATAATGTAATGCCAAAAGTCCTCAACTACCATGTTTTGTAATCTTCTTTCTTTCCTTCTTTCCTTTCCGTGTCACTTTAAACTAAAAAGAAAAAAGCTATATATCTTCAGCAAGGTTAGCAGTCTTAACATAACCTCTAAGAGAGACATCAGGTAATAATTGTTTGTCATGTCCCTTCAGAGTGTCAACAAAATGGGTTTCAGAAAGAGAAAAAAGTGGGGTGTCAAAAACAGAATCAGCTACTATGTGCATTTTCAATCAGAAAACCCTTGAGGAAATACGCTCAAAAGAACAATGTTGTAACATTGAATACAAGTATTGTACTTACAATCATTTTATCAAGTTTCCCATAAAACTTACTCTGAAAACTTTTATTTGTAAAATGGGCAAATGAATGCAATGTTCTCTACTATGGTAATAGAAAATCTCCAGTAATAATGGTAAAATTTACAATTTCTGATACATAAATATTTACCTGTCTTCATTAATTCCACACATACGGACCCTCTCACTGCTCATCCAGCTATGAACATTGCCATACAGGGGAGTTGCAGAAAGCATGACGTTGCCACTTAGAAGAGATTCTTTCTTCCCAAGCGTTTACAATCTATTTAAAAACAAGAACATATGGAATTGAGAAAACTGGCCTAGAAGGAAGTGCAAATATCACAGCAGAATCACCAGACTTTTTTGATAATTAATTCTGAATGTGGGATTGGAAGATAATAAAAGTGCATAGTTTACACACACACACACACACACACACACACACACACACACACACAAATGCAATGAAAAAATTTATAGATCAGATGAGATAGATATTTTTTTCTTCATACACTTTCTGAGAATTATGATTTATTCCATTCTGTTGACAAATCTAACATTTTTAAGAGCTTCATTCAAATTTAGAAAACTAAAATCATTCTATTTTTATGAACAAAATACACCTGGCTTATACTCAGAAGAGAGATGACCATTTAATATTCCAGCAAAGTTAACCTATATATACCTATTTCATTCTTCTACAATATTACTTTGAAAAACATAATGGAACTAGGCTCTAGAACGAATAAGCCATCAAAGGAAATCCAACTAACACTAATTAGTTATATCATTTATTGTATGTATTCCTGGCTCAGCTAACTAAAGATGTTAGAAATTGTAGTCCAACATAGGTGATAGATCTATCTACTATACGCCAAACAGTAAAACCATAAAATATATTAAATAAACAGTACCAGCAGAAATCTATTATCTATCTAATGTGCTGCTTCAATCACTGGAAAAAACAATATGTTAGCATTTAAAATACCAGAACAAAAATATTAAAAAGAAACTAGAACCAAGAAAACAATACTTTAGCACATTGGAAAAAGGATAAATCAAAGTGAATCACAACTATAACATCAATATACAATTAGGGAACAGATCACTCACTCTATTCCAAGGCCTTCTGAAAGAGCCAGGTTTTCAGACTTTTATGAAATCACAGTAGGGTTAGGACTATGGAGATTTCAGGGGAACAATGTTCCACAAGATAGGAATACTTACAGAGAAGGCACATCTCCTATAATGCTGGGACCTGGAACATGTCACTTTACCAAAACAACAGGAGAAACATGGTACTATAGGTAAGCAGGTCTAAAGCACAACCAACACCTTCAACTGCACTAGGAAGACCAGGATAGCTACTTCAGTTCACAAAGCAAAGATGCTGAATGGACAAAACAGAAGTTCCCATAACTACTCATATGACTGTATTCTGTATCAGTTGTCACTTTCAGTAATTTTCAAAGGTAAAGTGTAAAGTGCACTTCAATGGTCCAAATTTGAGGCAACTATGAAAAGGATTTCCTGATCCAGGAAAGAATGTAATTAGTGAATAAGATGGATTTTTGGGAAAGTGTTCATGGCTGCAACTGCCAGCCTAGTCCACTGAACATAAATTGAGGGCCCATGAGAATTCCCAAATTATGTACAAATTTTACCTGGAAGAATTAAATTTCTGTAACAGGAAAGTTCTTGAAACCAAAGCCATTCAGTCCAGTGGTGGGATTCAACCGGTATAACAACTATTTCGCTGAGCATTTGAAAACTTACCTTCTACTGCAGTCCCTGTGCAAAACAGCTGAGGCGCGGCAATCCGCTCTCAGTTGGGCTTCAGAAAACAGAATATAGGTAAGTATCAGGGACGTACAGTCAGGGGAGACAGGGGAGGCGGGGCCTCACCGGTATCATGAGGAAAAGAAAAATTAAAAGGAAAAAGGCTAAGGTAGTTGCTGCCAGAATGACTCTGCTTAGTGCTAACTGCAGGGGGAGGCAAAAAAACTACGGGCCTCCTTTGCATAAGGAATTTTTCGCCTTTTAACCCTTGCTCAGAGTTAAGCAAGGTTTAAAAGGCGAAAAATTCCTTATGCAAAGGAGGCCCGTAGTTTTTTTGCCTCC